CTAGCTCCAGCATCAGCCCAGCCGACCCGCGGGAAGACCTCACCCCACCCGGTGACCCTGCCTGTCCAGGGCTCCGTTTCACCTTTAACATCCTGCGCCGTGACCCCGCCACGTGTTTAACTCTTCACAGTTCCTTCCCATCGTCCTAACACATCCTCCTCACCCAGCCACCTTGCCCCTTCCCAAATTGGTCCTCTGCCCTCTGCGACCCTTGGCGGTCCCCACGCCCCAAGGGCTCCTCGTGCGGGTCTCCCCTAGCCTGTGAGGATACGTGACGGCCTTGTCCATAGAGAAGGGCAGGTGGGTGGTGCGCACCAGGAAGATCAGGCAGGTGACCAGCAGGGCGCCCGAGTAGATGCATAAGGACAGGACCAGTAGCATGAAGAACCGGAAGTTCCGGTGGCCGATGCAGTTATTGACCCACTTACAGTGGTGGTCGAAGTCCTGAGCCGCAGGGAGAGGAGTCAGGCCTCAAGGACCTGCCTCCATCTCCCCCAAATCCTGCGGTCTTCCCTCCACCTGCCCCTCCCACCTTCCCCATTCTCCCACCATCGCTACAGGCCACCTGCCCTTGGCCGGCTCCCAGCCCCAGGGAGAAGCTGAACCACAGGGTCCCTATCGCTGGCATTTCTGTTGTCAGAGCAAAGGTAGGAGTCTGTGCCTCATAAAGTCACCTGTCACCAGGCCTTTAGAGATGAGGCCTGCCTGGTCTGTGAGACACATCTCAGCGTAACTTTAGGCAGAACAGAGACTATCTCTGGGCCCCTGTTACTAGACCAGGATGACGACAGCACCCTTGCCCAGCCAGCCTCCTGCAGGGATAAAGCTGTGTGGGCATGAGTGCTCCAGCCCAGGGTCACTCCCCCCTAGAAGCCAGAGGCTGCTGGACAAGTCTCTCCAGACCACAAGACCCCAGACCAGGCCTGCAGCCAGCCTGAGGGTCTTGGATATCTAGAGTCAGCCAGCTTTCCTTCCCGTGGCCTGACCAGGCCCAGCAGAGCTGTAGATGCCCCTGGCATGTCAGTGTCTGTGCGGGCAAAGGCCAGCCTCCCAGGACAGTGCAGACACAGGGACAGTGGCCTGCACAAGTGACCAAGCAGATGAGAATTACTGCCACCCTTAGCTTCTAGCAGTCCTGGAAATGGTCTGACCAACCCTGGCCTTGGACTTGGGGGCTCCTGGTCCTGGTGGTGCTGGGGCATGGCTGGCAAGTCAGCAGGCCGGAGGGACACTCACCTCCACACAGATGTTGCACCAGGAGCAGTGGTAGGTCCGCGGAGGGCGGTGAAAACAGCACTTTGGGCACCACTGCAGGCGGAAGGCCCTGTGGTTCACCCACACCACGTGCACCATCATGGGGCCCTGCTCCACGGAGCCTGGCATGGGAAGATGATCGGGAAGCAGCAGGAGGCCCTTCTAGGTGCTGTTTGGGGCAGCCCCAGAATTGCTGGTACAAGGAAGGATGAGGAGGAGCTGGGCAGAGGAATTCAGCCCCCACTGAGCAAGTGGACCACCCAAGAGAGGCTGGCAGCCAAAGGGAAGGTGGGCTTCCAGCTCAGAAGAGGACAACATAGAGCCAGGCCTCTAGAAACCTGGTTAATGCTTTAAGACCGTGTGCAATGCAGGGGAGAAGCGAGCTGCGTGGTTTTTTGTGGTTTTTTGTTTTGTTTTGTTTTGTTTTTAATGCTTTCTTTTTTAAAAAAAAATTATTTATTTAATTTTATTTATTCACTCATTTATTTTTTTGACCAGAGAGAGACACAGAGGAGGAAAGAGAGCGAGGGAAAGTGAGAAAGGAAGCCACCAGGTCTGGGACTCGAACCATGGTCGGCCATGTGGGAGCATCCAGCACCTTAACCACCATGCCACCTGCTGGTCCCAAATCTCATAGAGTTTTCAAGGATTAAATTAAATGTATGTAAAGTGTTTAGTACATTTTCTGGCATATAGTAAATGTTTCCTAAAAATCTGCGGTGCTGTTTGGGGCAGCCCCAGAATTGCTGGTACAAGGAAGGATGAGGAGGAGCTGGGCAGAGGAATTCAGCCCCCACTGAGCAAGTGGACCACCCAAGAGAGGCTGGCAGCCAAAGGGAAGGTGGGCTTCCAGCTCAGAAGAGGACAACATAGAGCCAGGCCTCTAGAAACCTGGTTAATGCTTTAAGACCGTGTGCAATGCAGGGGAGAAGCGAGCTGCGTGGTTTTTTGTGGTTTTTTGTTTTGTTTTGTTTTGTTTTTAATGCTTTCTTTTTTAAAAAAAAATTATTTATTTAATTTTATTTATTCACTCATTTATTTTTTTGACCAGAGAGAGACACAGAGGAGGAAAGAGAGAGAGGGAAAGTGAGAAAGGAAGCCACCAGGTCCGGGACTCGAACCATGGTCGGCCATGTGGGAGCATCCAGCACCTTAACCACCATGCCACCCGCTGGTCCCACAAGCTACGTGTTTTGAAGGGCCAGCTGACTTCTTTCCTTGGCCTGCCTGGCCCTCCCTTCCAAGGCAGCTGGAAAACCTCCACCATCATGTCTTTTCACGCCTCCGTGGATTGGGACATGAAGTCCCAGGGCCAGAGCAGTGAGGGCTGGGGCAAGAGGAGAAGGGAGGAGTGCTTTTAGAATCATCTACAGTCCCAGCCCTCAGAGTGCTGCCCCCTTCTCCAAGGGTTGAGGGTCAAGGCCTTACCTTGATGTAAGATGCCGGGGTCTGAGAAGTTGAGTGAGACGAGACTGAAGAAGGTCAAGACAAAGAGGAGACCTGTGATGATGGGAAAGGCCCACTCCCCATTCTCAGCCAGCCACCTGCAACTGAGAGCAGAGCCAGAAGTCCTCCCCTGGGTCGGCACACCGCTCTCCCCAGGGCTCCATTCACCCAGACAGGACTCACAGATCCTAAAGCCACTAATACACACAGGCTGGGGCCAGCAGGCAGTGTGGTGCTTAAGACACTGGATTCCCATCTGACCGACCACGGTCTGAATCCCAGACCTGCCAGCGGTTATGGGAGTATAGGGAAGGTGGGAGGGGAGGGAGGAGGAAAGACCACAGGATTCGGGGAGATGGAGGCAGGGCCAGAGGACAGGTCCTTGAGGCCTGCCTCCTCTCCCTGCTGCCCAGGACTTCCGATTCTTCATTCTATGTGTGTGTGTGTGTACGCGCACACATGTGCCCAAAACCCCAAAAGGAGAATGGAGAAGAGAATGCAGCATGACCATTCCCCCAGGAGTGGGGATTTCTCTCTT